ACACACACACACACACACACACACACACACACACCCCTCTCTCTCTCTCTCTCTCTCTCTCTCTCTCTCTCTCTCTCAGAGATGCACTACAGGATCTCCTAGGAGGCAGCTGATCACCCCTGTCTCCCCCAGAGTCGTACTCTCATGGAATGGCCCAGACACAGGCCAAGCCCTGGGCCTGATCTCCTCTCCAGGCCCCCACTCAGCAGTGTCCCTTCCAGCCAGTCGCAGGAGCACTCTCTTCCGAAGCAGTTGTCACAGACCCCTCCATCCAGCAACCACCCCCAGCCAACCCCTGCCTGGGTCTACAGAGTCCCTCGTCGCCCACCCACCCAGTGTGGGGTTCCCCTCACAACACCCCGCCAGCACCGGGGATAGAACTCAGGGAACTCACTACTAAATGAAGAAACTTTGATCATTCTAAGGAAGTTTTTCAGATATGCATTTAATTTACAAGAACTTAATTCTTCTGGCTGAGCAAAAGAAAAAACAAAAAATCAAATTCTTTTGACACTTAATTACAAAATTACATTGGACATACTCTTTTTTAAGTCACCACACAATGATGTTATATGCACTGCTATTTACACAAAGAATGTATATAATATGTATTAAATCTATACATTTATAGTATTATTCAGGGTCACAAACCTAAACCCATGGACCACGTTTTGTGAGGGACTGGGGGATTTTCACTTTACTACCTACAGAATCTGATTCACCCATGAGGTATCCCGGATCTCCGGAGGCTTCTCTGCTCCAAGTTAAATATTTTCTGTCACAAAGAGGCCCTGCTTCATAGAACCCACCGGACCAAAACCTCTTCGATTCAACCCAACACTCACTCACTGAGCGATTTCCACCAGTCCAGCATTGTTACAGATGCACAAGGCATGAGAGGGATACAGCTCAGCCCTCAGGAAGCTCACAGGCGACTTGAGAGAACACAGACACACACGTAGTTGGTCCAGAGCAATACAGAACAGCAGTGACCGAAGCTGGAGTCCCCGGGCTGGGAGTCAGTAGTAAGCATCAGCTGGAGTAGGACTGACTGAATTAACTGGTGGCAGTTTCTCCTCCAGCTCTCTCAGAATGAAGAGGCTCCAGCAAAGGCCTCTCAGCCTCTAAGGGAAAGGCAGGCAGCTGCCCCGGGTTAGAGCTGACTTCTGGGGGACAGAAGACACCTGCGGGGGTGCCCAGGTCTGCAGCTCAAACTCTAGGCAACAGTCATGCTGGTACAGTCAGCAGCAGCCAGACGAGGACAAGAGGGGAGTCCTCAGGGTCTGCCTGGTCCCAAGTCTCACACCAGCCTCGAGTGGAGCCTCTTGTCCTGCGGCTATACCCCCATACCCCCAGTGACAGTGTCAGTTCCCTCGGGCCCCTGCCAGGACGACAAATGCTGAGGTCACCTAGAAGCAGCCCCTCTCGGACCGCAGTACTCAGAGAGGCCATGGTCCTGGGTCCTCAGCATAGCACCATGGCCCATCTTTTTATCCTGCTGGCCACCCGAAGTGCCACACTCCTGTGAGCCAACACAGTATGCCCTCTACAGCTAATTATAGGTCAGTGAGCTAGCAGGCCAAAGGGGGGACAGATGGTGACTTCATGGGGCTGCAACACACATTCGGCCCTCCCTCTGACCCCACTCCTTCCCTCCATTTCTCTCAGCTCCCTCCTGGGATGTAGACTCTGAGGCAGCTTTCACTCCTTTAACCCTGCCTACTCCTCAGCATCTCCTCCCCTTGGCACGCGCGCGCGCGTGCGCGCACGCACACGCACACGCACACGCACCTACACAACTCTACACTACTTGGTCCCCACATCTTGTGCTCAACACAATAGCCTAAGGCCCCATAGAGAGTATCCCTGGCATAAGAAAGCCCCAGCTTGATCCCAGGTTTCATTTGAAGGTTTTGCGTTTATGTATGTGGGGGGGGGTATTTATTTATTTATTCATGGTTTTTGTGTTTTGGTTTTCAGCACTGAGGATCGCCTGAGACAGGCCAGACAAGGTCTCTACCACTGAGCTCTGCCCTCTCCCAGCCCCGTGCTCCCCAATACCTCTAAAGACCCCTTTGCACTCTCTCCCAGGTCCCTCTGAGTCTTTACCCCTGACTCATTGCTATCACAGCTCCACTACGCATCCTGTCTCAGCTCCAGCCCTGCTATTTTCAGATGATCATAAAGGACCCACAGCAAAGCCCTGATAACTCTTTCTAACTCAGCTCAGAGAGGAGATTCAGGAGGCTGCCTGCCTGCCTTGCCCTGCCCGGCCCCTCCAATCAATCCATCCTTCATAATCCAGCAGCCAGACCTCATACACTCCGACATCTTGATATGCTCAGCAGCACACACCCAAGCCCCACAGGATGAGGTCCCCTCCAAGCCCTGCCCCCACACTCCTCCATCTTCCCCAGACAGTGCCTCCCTCCTGAGGGCCTAGTGCATTCTTGAGCCCCAGGACCCACTGTGTGATCCATCCTCTCACTACTCTGAGCTAGCCCTTATCCCAGGAAGCCTCCTCAGGATCAGGAAAGAACCACAGGAAATCCTTCAAGCTGTCTTTGTCAGGCGGCTTCCCAGGCTACCTGGCTGGTTAGTGGTAGGGACTTCTTGGGCTGGAATGGAGTTAAAACTCTTGTCTTTGGCTAATCCAACAGCAATGTAATTACCTTGTGAGTAAGAGGGGAAATGTTAACAGAGTGCCTATTACACGTGCCTACTATGGGTATCTTCCAATTGTTCCATGACCCCAAATTGGCTGCCGAAGACCAAGCATGTAGCAGGTCTCTGTCACGGAGTGGGTACCCAGGCGGGATGCTGAACACAGCACTATGTGAAAACAGTCCTAACAACTCTGGAAACAGCTGCAGAACCCTGAAACCGAGCTCCTGGAGGTGTCCCTTCAGCTCACACCAGGAGGGGATCTCCTTGCTACCCAGAGCCTCCTCCTAAACCACTTGTTCTCCTCATAGAGCTGAAGGGCAGCCTCAAGTCCCTTACCTCCCTAAGGGACACCACCAGCACATCTGTCTCAAAGGTGACATCAGCATCTAGCGGTGCTTGGTCCTGGATCACTCCTCCTTCTCAGAGAAAACCACCCACACCATGTTTCCAAGTCCTCCAGCCCAACCTCTCTCCACCCACCATCGAAACCCCACGGCGTGTCCAGGAGACCATCCCTACTGTGGCCAAGACAGCTCCCCATTCCCAGGCTCACAGCCCAGGAATCTCTAGCCCAGCGGTCTCTTCCTATTGCGCCCACCCTCATCCCCACCCCCACCAGGCCTCGGGTGGGCGCTCCTTCCACCCCACCGCCCTGGCACTGCAGAGATGGGGACATCTCTGGCACAGGCTGAGCCTGGCCGCTCCAGGAATGGAGAGCCGGCGGCAGGCAGTAACAAGGGGTGTAATGGAGCAAGCGGGAAGGAAGAACCCTGGGAAGCACGCAGACCTCAAGCTCTCAGAAGCGCTTGCCCAAAGGAACGGAGTTGGCCCTCGAGTGCGCCGAGTGGTGCTTTTTCTAACTCTTCTTGAGGGGAAATGGGGTGCAGTACACACAGGTCCCACCAGCAGACGAGCCAGATTACTCCCGCGAAGCCGAAGGAGCTGAGAACGAACTCCATGACCTCCCTGCAAATCGGGCATCACCCCCCTTCTCATCTCCAAGGGCACAGGGCACCGCAAGGCTGGCGAGGGGCAGGGAGCGAGAAGCCCGCCAGAAACATACACAGAGTAAGTGAGGCTGTTTCCCAAGGCGCGCTAGACAGAGACCCTCCCCAAACTGCAGAGAGCTAAAGCTGGGAAAAAAGACACCACCACCCCCGCCCCCCACCTCGGGCTCTGGGTGCTCACCTGCTTGCAATTGCGGAAGGCCCTGCAACTGGCAGCTCTGCAAGGAGGCGACGAGGGAGCCGCCCCCCACCCCGGAGGCGCTACACGTCTCGGACAGCCGAGCTGGAGCCGAGGTAGCTGCAGCCTCCGCCGTCCTAGCGCCCAGCCTTGAGGCCCCGCCCCCTCCTCCTCGGACTAGTCCCGCCCCTGAAGGGCGTGGTCTGGCCACTTCTCCTGAGACCCCGCCTCCTGCCCCCGGGCACTGGCACGTGACGCAAATGCTGCTTTGCTGCTGCGCGCCATCTTGGTTCGGCCTCTGGAAATGGCAGAGTGCCAGGGCTCTACCTGGCAGTGACAAGGTCTCAGTTGGGGTGAAGAATGCAGCACACACCCTGCCCCTAGCGTAACCATCTGTTCCCTCAATTGGCCAGCTGCTTGTCACCTTTCTCATCTGCCCTCTCCCACCCATCTTTTTTAACTGAAGAAATTTGAAACCCAGATACATTGCTCTTCAGCGAATTGTCACTTGCCAACAAGCATCCGACAGTTCTAAAACTGCTACTATAAAATGCAGTGTTTGTCTATTATATATAGACAGGATGAAAACAGACTCAGATGCCAGAACTCCTGACAATTTTATTTAAAATCCTGAATTGCTCCCTTACCCTGTTCCCCTGTGGCTATTAATGCATCTTGCCCATCTGGCTTGTGAAGTTTCATCACAGTGCCTACTCAATCCTTTGCAAATACCCAGTAAGCACTCTGGAAGTGTGAAGAATTTTTATACAAACATAAACTGAATATATATGTTCTCTATCAGCAGCAAAGGCTATAGGTGAGATAGATGACACATAGAACTGTTTATTATTTTTCTTCCAATAGTTGGCTAGAATTCTGATTTACTTTGGGGGGAAGGCTAAAGCTAAATTTGTAATATTTTGTCTGACCCTCAAAATCACGTACCTATTTAAAGAAGTAAAAATTTAAGTTAAACAGTTTTTAACTTGAAGTTCAGAAAGTTCCAACTCTTCTCCAGGGGGCCTGGAGTTACCAAAAGGCAATCAAGCTAGAAAATGTAACTCAGCCAAAGCGTAAGACTGAAGCCACGGTAACACTGACAACACCCTTTCCCGATGTGTCCTCAGCAGAAGCAATATCCAACATCAAAGCTAACATCATGCCATGGACTATGACACAAAAACTCAGAAGTTGAATCAGAACACAATTATTAAGCCCAGTTTATTCCACCCCCTTTAAGGTTAACTCCCCAACTGGAGGCACACATTCCCCTGACAACTTCCTCCTGCTCCAAGGCATCTTCTGTTCAGGAAACTAGGGACTCCATTCTTCTTTCCTTCCACCTCAAAGAGGCAACTTTTTATAGCAGAGATCTGTGAAGTGCTTTTGGTCCTCAGGTTGTTTTTATTCCTTAAGTGCCCAAACTCTGTTTTTCACTGATCCAGGCTCACTTTCTGTGTGAAGAGATTTAGTGCCACCCTCAATGTGGGGTAAGGCTAGTTGTCAGCAGCAGAAACAAGCAGATGCTTCATAAGAAAATTCTTTAAATAGCAGGGGATGGGGAGGGTGGTAAGGAAAAAACAACATACTAATTTAGCAGTTTGGCTCACAATAATACCTGGCCCCAACAAGTCTTTTATGTTTAAAGAATAGTCTTAATGTCCAATTCTGTCAATAAATATCCAGCTCCCTGATTGGGCAGTGTGGGGGTAGGGCCAGTGTGAGCACAGAAAGGTTATCTGCTTAAACAGAACACTCCCGGCCCTCTTCTCGGAGCACACCAGCTACAGCAAGTCGTCTACCCAACATGTGGCCATCAGCATTTCTGCAGAGACAAAAGGTCAGGCTCTTGCAGATTCACAGGAAGGCAGCAGAGGCCAAGAGCAAAGCCACTGAGCGCCTCTGGTTCGAGGCTGGTTCCAACACGCCATCCATTTCTGGAACAACCCTTAGCATGATAAATGCCCAACAACTTAATGAAATGCCACTACCCTTCCTGAAATAACTTTCTTGGTGTGTTTTACATTTTATTCAGTAACATCTACTTAAATGATTCATTCGTTCATCACTCTTACATACTTTTTAGGCTGATCAGGACTTAGGTAAGCCTTAATCAAATTTTTCACAATTTTACTTTTTAAATTTTTTGGTTTATTACAATTTGTACACTCCCTTTCTCCATGAGTGTACACTCTCCCTATCTCCCATGAGAAAAAATGGGACTGATCTTTTAAACTGTGGATAGCAAAAAAAAAAAGTCCTCAGTTGGAAACTTAGCTCTGTATTTCCTGGCTGTTATGGCCTTGGGTAAGTCATTAACTCAGCTTCTCAACCATGAAATGGAAATAGTTTCACCTGCCTTTCTGGGCTGTACAGATCAGAGATGCTATGTAAAGTTCCCAGTGCAATACTAAGGACCCGTCATAATCACTATCAGCCTTATGCAAAAACAAAACAAAACCCTAAAGTCCAAAACTGGCAAAGTATTTATGCAATAAATATCCAAAAATTATTTTTACGAAAAGATACACAAGTTAATATTATAAGATTCTGAAAACCTTGTCCCCTGCTTTATTGGAGCAGGGTAAAGGAAGAAGAGAAAATATTCACTTGAATTTGAAGGACAGCCACATTGGAAGCAACAGCAGCAACAATTTTAGGTCTTCTTTGCTTGAAGATATAAGATTAATTTTTCCCTACAGAAAGACCATCCATTTTTCCACTGGTACGAAAGAATAAAGAAACAAACTCAATAGCACCAAACTAGGATTTAACACAGAAAACAGGGCCAGGTTTATCCTTTCAAATGCCAATTTTTACACTAAAATGTTTATAAATCATAGTTGTTTTCCTCTTGATTGAACCCTTCTCCTTCCTGTAAGAGAAGCCCCAGGAATCCAAAGAGCATGTGCATTACTAATCAGACGTACAACCCAGCTGCCCCTTGCAAAATGGAATCTGATTACTAATGGACTGGACCCAGGGCTCCCCAGGGAGGGAAGCAGTTAACTACGCTCTCAGGGAGAACGGATACTGCGGATGCCACCAGTCAAAGAGTCGAACACTGTGCACTGGGTCCAGGATGACTTGCACACCCTGTTCACTGCGCAGGCTCCGCCCACCACGGACAGGAGAGTCTTGGAACACCAGTCTCACTCGATGATGCCGCATGTCCGTACTCACATTAATTGTAAACTAGAAGGGAAAAGCAAACTTAGTACCCAAAGTAGCCACGGTCGCCTACAGCTCATTCCCCTAAATGAGACAGTCTAGACATAATTTATACTGGCTGGCATTAAAGATTAATTTCTAAATTAGAACACCAACACCTTTGTAAAGACATAAAAACTAAGGATGATTTTATAAGGTCTTCTCAGCTGCACACATTTAAGCTATACTAAAGAAAGCCTCATAGGTGGATGGATAAATTAGGACAGACACACAGACTACCACCAAGGCAATTTCCCTTTAAACTGAGTTAGAACTGAGAGAGATGACTTGGAGGGATTTTGATGAGATACCGCTGAACAAGTGAAGCAAGATGCATAACACATAAACCTGTTCCCATTTTTTGTAAAATAAACCATAAAATCTCCACATGGACTTATGTAGGCTTACACAGAATTTGTATGAGGTGTATGGTCACTAATGTGACTTAGCCTGTAGGGTGGGAGAAGTGCCTTCATTAGGAATAGCATGTGTGATATAATCTCAATTATATAAAATTATTTGGGAGAGGATTACTCATGAACACATTAACAGGCACATTAAAAAAGTTATCAGAAACTTAACTGCAGTTATAAAACAGTGGAAGTCTAAATCACCTCTGTTTTCTCAATACATTTATGTATTATTTAAATTCTTGATGGGTGTGGTGGTGCACGCCTATAATCCCAGCACTCAGGAGGCTGAGGCAGGAGGATCAATGTGAGTTGGAGACCCATCTGGTCTACATAGTGAGTTCCAGGTCAGTCTCAACTACATAGTGAGACTCTCTCTCAAAAAAAAAATCTTTACATAAAGCATATTTTTTTTTTTCTTAGTACTGGGGATTGAACTCAGGACCTTGAACCTTCCAGGCAGGCGTGGCACCTAGGAGCTAAATCCCCAGCCCCGAATACACATTATTTATTTCACAATTTTTAAAAGCTGTTTTCATTTTGAAGGGAACACCATGTATCTCTGAACAGAAGCCTAAGACACGGAGAAGACAACATGAACTTTCTAGTTGCCAATCCAATTAAAATTTTTTAAAACATGGAAAAATAAGCCACAGGCACATACATCATTCGCTAATCTAATTCTTGGTCAAGCTCTGATACAAAGGTCAGAGCTGATCAGCCTACACTGTATTCATGCCTCAAGGTCCTGACATACAATGCCCACATGCTTGTATATGCTTTATTATTATTCCTTTCACGACAGTGTTTCTCAATCACTAATAATCACTGTACACACACAATGATGGAAAAACATTTCCCTTCCTATAGAGAAGGAAACATACATAAAATATTCTCAGATATAATTAACTTCTCTAACAAACAAGTTTGATTTCAGACTATTTTATTATTCCTCAGAGATTTCTTCCGCAGTGGTTAAATTTATAAATCTGTTTCAAACTCTAGGTATACTAAGAGTCCTCAGATGGCAAGAGCTAACATCCTGAGTTTCCACTTACCAGGGTAAATATCATCCCCATGACGATTGGAATAAAGATGAAATTGAGGGTAGTAACCTGCAGTAGGCAGCAGTCCTGGTCTGGGTTGGTATGAACATCTTCATATTGAATGGGGGGCTGCAATCTCCCCATACACTTGCTCTTTAATCTAGGGGACTGAAGAAAACTAAGAATTAATAAGAGTGGCCTAGAGGAACTAATAATGTCTCAAAGATGTCAATAATGAAAATCCACCAGCTCAACTAAAGCTAATGAGATATAATTTTATCTACTGCCTCTTTACATACATCCTGGTTTCTATGCAGAGCTCAGAGAAATCCTGCCCTCTGAAAGAAGGGACAGGTAAGGGACAGCCAACTCTACCTGTAACACAGCTCAAAATAAACTACTAAGTAGAGAAGACAGGTAGAAAAATAGAGGCTGCTGAAGCTGAGAAGTAAAGACAGGCAAAACAGATCCTGATACAAGTACAGATGGAATGAAACGTGGACAAAAGGACAGGCTATGGCTTCCCCAAAATGCCCCAGACACAAAATCATATAAACTGTTTTCATTTATAAACACATTCACATCACTTCTTGGCCTTTTGGCCAAGATCAAGTGTATAAACACATTCACTTTGAACAACAAAAACAAGTTTAGACTAATTAATTTCAGTACATTATTACAAGTGCTTCCCTTTCTCTTCTAAGAAGTCTTCAAATATATAGAAAGGTTAATAAAATAGTGTACTAAAGTCCTATATACATGCTACCATTGGACATTTTGTTATATTTAACTCACTCCTCATTCTACTTACATATTTAACACACACACTTTGGGAAAGAAGGGGTACAAATAATTCAGCATGAATAAAGACACACATAACCACAATATCATTATCACAAATAAAAAGATGAACAAGTTTCAAATCACCTAATAACCACAGCATATTCAAATTTCAGCTGCCCCCAAATGTCTTTTATAGAGGTCTTTGTTCTCTGATCCTAGATCCACTCTGGATTTACTCTGGGTATTAGATAGTTATCTTTGTCTTTCAATACAAAATAGCTGGATATGAGGACAATCTGGATGCAACATCTGTCACCCCCAATTACTGGTTTATCTGGCTGATCCGGCTGGCTGGGCGGGTGCCCCTTCCTCCTTTACCGCCTCATGTGTGTCCCTCCTGACTCGGCTCAGTGGAAGAGGACCACCTTCCCCAATGGACAAGGACATTTCCTTGGTCAAGGTATTCGAGTATCTGCGCTCCCCTCTAAAACAAGCTCTGTACAGGATAGTTCCTACTCCTTTTCCCTTTAATGGCATGAGTGGACCCCCAAAATTCCCAGGGTTTACACTCCATGAAGTGTGAAAAACCACGAATTTTAGAGTTAAAAAAAAAATACCCATAAAGCCTATTTTTATATTTTAAACCTTAAATATGCTATATCTTCTGCAGCTACATAATTTAATTTACTAAAATACTGCATTAATAACACCTTAGAACATGCAAGGCATTTTGGGAGTCTCTTAAGGATCTCGGGGTTTTAAGAAGAACAATACTGAGAACACTCAAGATAGCTACACTTGGTACAGCAACCTGTTAGAACTTAGTAACACTCTCGGATTGGCTACGTGCAAATCTCCCACCAAAAAAAAAAACTGCAGTTTCCACAACACTGCAGGGGTTTCTGTGAGCAATTATTAGGTTCTAAGGAAAATTCCACGAAGACTGAGGCTGCCAACTCTGAACCCCAACTTAGTGGGAGTACACTGTATTACAGGTTTTGAAACATATTATTTGATGTTAGTAAGGTCATTTCACGCCGAATGTCACAGTCTGAACATCTGTAAACCCTCCAAAACTCACACAGAAATGTAACCTTCAATGTGGTGGTACTGAAAGGCAGGGCCTGTAGGAGGTGATAGGTCATGAGGCTCCTCCCTCATAGGGGTTCAGGCCTCCTAAATGAGGATCCACATGGGGTTTGGCCCCTTTTGGCCTTCCACCTTATGCTCTGTGAGAACAGTGTTCCTTCCCAATGAAGGACAAGACAGTAGGGAGCAGAGAGACCATGGCCTCACCAGGCACAGAACTTGCAGGTTCTTAATCCTGGACTTCCCCAGCTCCATAAGTGTGAGGAAATTAAATTCTGATAACCATGAGTTCGAGGCTACCCTGGGCTACATTGTGAGAGTTCAAGGCCAGCCCAAACTACACAGTGAGACCCTCTGTGGTACTTTAGGATGGCACCACAATGTACAACATAGCCAGTGAAATTCATAAGAACAAGATATTATCTGATTCCAATTTCTTGCTATTACATATTATAATCCAATGAATATTCTTTTATTTATATTTCCCTATTTTAATCTACTTGATAGAGACTAACAATAGTATATTAAGTATGTAATTCAGTTTCTGTCCATTCTCTTTTTATGTTTAACATCATCATTGTACACTTAATGAATTCTGATGTTACTTTTTTAGTGCATAAATTCATGGCTAATATATCACTTTTATCATTTTTTAAAATCAATCTAAACATATTTTTCCATTAAAGGGGAAAAAAAGATATTACCTGAAAGACAATGAGAGGAGAAGACCACATACCTGTTTTTTGAACTTGAAGTTGAACTCCCACATTGGTTCCTGTCTGTTCCCAACAATCTTTCTGCACCAGAAAAGTAAGCACTGCAAGAAAGAAAACATAAAATGGACTAAGGGGGGAAATATCAACATACAGTATAAAGTAGCAAAAAACTCTCTGTTTGAGAGCTCTAAAGCCAAACACAGTCCCAGTGCTGAGATTTTACTTCAGCACAGAGCGATCCCCAATTTGACACTGGTACAACATGAAAAGACAATCCCAGGACTGTTCTGCAAGGAGAAGAGGGACGGATATATAAGTCAACCTCAGAGGTTATTAAGATTAACCCCTACCTTTCTCATCTTTAAAGACAGAAAGATGGTATCTAGACACTGGGACATATTCTCTGATTCAGTAGGCCACTGCTCTACATTAAAACAGAAGGGCAGCCAGTAGCTACCAGGCAAGATGGCATAACCGTAAGGCAGGCAAGGAGGGCTAGCCCTACCATAGCAGCAAGCCGCTCAGGACCTTCTGAGAGCAGACAGCCGGTATGGAATCCACAGAGCTCGGGTTAATTCAGTCTAGAGGAAGCCCCTCAATGGAAGTCAGGCTACAGCTAGGGTTAAGCACAAGAAGTGAAGTACCTCCCAGGGGACAAGGGGTGGGTCGTCCGCCGTGCCAGCTGTCCTGCCCTTCAGACATGCCCTGTACGTCCTGCTGTTCCATCAAAAATAATGGGCTTGGCTTTAAGGGGAAAACACTTCTGCTGCCATCACAACGGCTCCAGTGTCCCACACAAGCTATGCTACTGAAAAGAGAGAGAGGGGGAATCAAATACGAAAAGCTGGAGTCCAGGAACATGGGACAACTTCCTTTAGGCATGCTGGCAACTCCCTGAATGCCATGCACTTGTGGGAATACTAACGGCAAGGCCATGCATGGGATCCCTGCCACAGCAGGTCCCACACCCTCCTCAGAGGATCTCTAACAGGCAAAGAAGCAGCAGCCAGATGGCCTGGGCTTACTACCTGGATTAAGATCTTGGTTTTCATTTCACTTTGGCTTTGTGCAGTCTACTTTTTAAAAATGAATAAACAGCGATAAGAATATGAAGATATGGGTATTTTAGAATTTAAGCAATAGCACTTGCATTGTGCACTGGAGCCGCTAAGATGTGTCAGGCATGAGTTTGCCTAATGCTGCTCTGCTCCCAGCACTGATTCACACTGGCGTGGTTCACTTTGGGATGATCCTGCCCTCCCCACAGTCAGTCCAACACCATCTAAGGCTTCTAGGGGACGGATACTGTAAATGTGCGATGATACAAGGTCCACTCACATTACAAGCAGAAGCAGCTGCTGGGTGAAATTCTACTCTCACAGCATGCTACCCTTGCCCCAAATCTATCAGCATGATTTCAAACTGAGTTCAGCCACTGGTCCCAATCACCTATGTCTGCAACCCTAATTAATTGAAATCAAAAGTATTCTTCTAATTCATATGTATCACATACAATATAATTACCCTACCTAAAGCTAAACTGGGGAAAAAGAATCATTATATAATGTCCGTGACCATAAAGACAAAGTATAAGAGAATAAAAACTGCTACAGAACATCAGATTTTGGGTTGAAACAGTCATAAAAATTACCTACACTTGCATGCATGAGGCCTTGGGTTCAATTCCCATGTATTCAAAAAAATAAATTAGCTGGGCGTGGTGGCACATGCCTGCAATCCCAGCACTCAGGAGGCTGAGGCAGGAGGATCAATGTGAGTTCAAGACCAGCCTGAGCTACACAGTGAATTCCAGGTCAGTCTCAATTACATAGAGAGAAAAAAAAAAAACAACATTACCTACAATTTCAAAAGATACTAAATTTACACAATGATATTGAATGAATAAGAAAAGGACTGATAAATCAATTTGCCTACACAATTATTATCTACTATACTAGTAAAGCTTGGCAAGTGACTTCACTAGAAATTTTATCACAAAGTCTTGAGAAAAGGAGAGAATGTATCAAAGTTAGCAGACCTAACAGAATGCCACAAATGTGAATGTTATGTATGATATAAAACACTGGGCAGATCTTGAGATAAAAATAGCCTACAACACAGGTAAAGCCCTAAGGTCTATGAATCGGACAGAGTGTACCTTACAGTCTCAGAAACAATCTCCCACAGAGCCTGGCAGTAACCTAGCACTGGCACTTAAAAAGTGCTAAAGAAAGCAACATCAGAATCCTTTACAGAGGTCAAGAATAAAGAGGAATGTTGGTGCATGCCTGTAATCCCAGCACTTTGGAGGCTAAGGCAGGAGGATCACTGTGAGTTTGAGACCAGCCTGGGCTACATAGTGAGTTCAGGGCCAGCCTGGATGACATAGCACAACCCTATCTTTAAAAAAAAAAAAAAAAAAAAAAAAAAAGAGAGAAAGCCTGAAAACATTGATCAACTCTTGTCTGAATGTCTAGAAGCAAACTAGAGACCTGCCAACAACATGCCTGGAGGAAACTCAGAGAAAGAAATAAGTGAGTTGCTCACATTATATCTTTGAATCTTGACTGAAGCAACTTTTTAGAAATGTAATATATACCTGTATTTCTATATGTAGTTTTCCTAGCCAAAACCATTAAAGCCATTATATCTAAAGTGATCCAATGTACAATGCATGGAAATAAATTAAGACGAGAATAACAAACACACTAAAAGCAAAGAAAGCTGTAAGTAAAGGAAACATAAGCCAGCCCAGCACAGCAGGAATGTCTTAGAGAAATGCAATCTCTGAGCCCTAGAGGTTTACATCAGTCTCCTAGCAGCCTGGGACCTACCATCCTCCCTAACAAAGAAGCTGAACACAAGCCACAGTAAAAGGCCCACCCCTTGAGAGTACATGAGTCAAACCCCAACACTGATTCTCACTTACTTTGGAATTCTTTAATGAGGTGGGGGTGCTTTCTGGAATGACTGGATTCTTGGAGATTCGAGCAGCAAATGGTTCGTACATATGGTACAGAGATCGGATCACACACGCCCGGAGACAGCGCAGCTTCTCCATGGACTCTGGTCGCAGGCGCAGAGGCAGCGAAGCATCCAGCGTGTAGTGCCTGAAACACGACACATTACTCCTACAATACGTGAGCTGCCTCTCCTGCTCTGGATCAATCCCCAAGTCTCCCAGTCTCTGTATGAGCCTACTACCCTGTTGCCCTGGGCGGCAGTGCTCACACTCATACAAACCACCGTCTCTTTACCTTCTCAGTGACTTTTGCTTCTTCATCCTGTAATCCTTCATTTTACCTGTTTTAAAAATTTAAATCCTATTTCACTCTACAATGAGCAAGTCTCTGCAGTGGTATCAATATAATATACTTTAGTTGTTCAAAGAGAGCCTGTCCTGGAGAAGAGCTACCAGGTTCTCCTGTCATATCTCAGCAAGTTCTCTACTCCCTGCTGCCTCAACATCCATTCTAACAGCCTCCCTGACAATGTGCAGTCTTAACTACCCTTCTGCAGCCACATCCAAAGCGAGCCCTTCTGCTAATCCTACGACCCACTTGTCACCACAATTCTATATGGGACAGCATAAGCACAAAAACTACATGATACTTCCAGATGACTAGGAAATCTAAGAAAGAGCTACTCCGGAAGGGAAAGATAGACATCTGTAGCATCTGAACATTCCAGCTAAAATGAACCTCTGCAGAAACACCAAAATCAGGTCTTTCTGAGAGCTGAAGCAAACTTTTTACACAGAGTAACAGTGAGAAGGAGGCAACAAGGAAGACTCCAATTTAAATTAGAGAGAGGTCTAGGAACCCAGAGCTGGGGTCACAGAGAAAGTCAAAAGAGGCCACCATTCAGGGAATCACAAACAGCTACACAGAAGAGCTATGTGGTCGCACCTTCGGTACAACCTGGTCCAAAAGGCAGCAGTGCAAGTGACAGTCCAGGCATTCTTACATATCAGGGAAAAATTCACGATGTCTTCAGGGCGGATGTAGGAGGCCAGTAAGAGCCAAATATCCATGGGATACTCTTCTCCAGCCCCGTCCAGGTCTTCTGAAATAGAAAAAAAAGAACAATACTTTTTTATCTTCTACTCCAAACATATCTAATGATAACCATTTCATTTCTCCCAGGGCTTGCACAGTTTGAGAAAAAGTTTTAAATAGGTCCCATGAAGCCCCTCAAGCTCATCTGATAATTCTACTGCTGAAAACTTCTGCCTCCTGTTGCCCAAGTGAATAGGTTCTGTCCTTAAAGCCTTTTTCTTTCTTTCTTTTTGGTACCAGGGATCGAACTCAGGACCCTGCACTTGTAAGGCAGGTGGTGGCACCACTGAGCTAAATCCCCAGCCCCTTAAGGTCTTTTTCTAACAACTACTTACATAATATTTTTAAATTTTCAAAGTGCCTTTGCATACCTTATATCACTTGACTCTACTAATTCTTCAACAAAAATAAGGAAAATATATTGTGCCCATTTTAGAAATAAGAAAACAAAGCCTTAATGAAATAACAAATGAAGACTTCAAGAAATCTAAAGAAAATGTTCTTTATAAGAAACAGGAAGGTGCGTGAGGGGCTGTATATCTGGTGAACCACAGCTGCCTTTAGCAAAGCGGCTGGGACTTTTCTCAGCCCCTGAGAAGGATGAGGTTTGGGAAGGTGCTCTGAGGGAGACCATGTTCCAACTGGTTTTTATTGGCAAACATGGCATGTCTTCTCCAGTGTGACATGTAGGGTGCCTACCGTATGGCCTTTGTCTTGTGGTCACTGTGCTGCGTACTCTTTGCTTCCCAATAAAGTGTGCTCTTTCACAAACAAACAAATAACCCACACACACACACACACACACACACACACACACACACACACACAAAGCCTTGCCACTCAGGCAAGGTAAACAGAATCCAAGTTTCTAACTTTTCATTATAAACCCTGCCTTTGATTTTTTTTTTGCAGTACCACCCACCAAAAATTATCTTCCATAAGTGTAAAGAAAAAAACTGATTTTAGGATGGTATGAGGAAATCTCAAGTGCAAACTATATTTTAAAAAAATAGATAAACTGGGCATGGGGACACATGCCTGCAATCCCAGCACATGGGAGGCTGAGGCAGGAGGTTCACCAAGAATTTGAGGCCAACCTGGGCTCCATAGTTCAAGGTCAGCTGGAACTGCAGAGTGAAACCCTGTCTCAAAAACAAACCCCAAAAAATTAACAATAGTAAAAATAGGGCCAGGGATTTAGCTCAGCAGCACCGTGCCTGCCCTGCAAGTGCAAGGTCCTGAGTTCAATCCTTGTTATGAAAAAAAAAATTGTAAAAATAAAAACCAGGTAAGTACAGTGTATATTCATTACTTAATAACTGCTTATGAACTTGTCTTTCCTGCTAGTTTCCCCTTGTTTCACTGCTAGTTTGGCCTATGGTCCTGGCAAAAGGCAGTCAATTTCTCCGACAAAGCATCCCTACCTCCTTCTCTTCAGACCTCGTTAGTGTTACTAACCTTGACTCTGAGGTCTACTATACAGCTTGGGTTTGAGTAACAATATAGATCCCATAAAGACTCCTGTTTCTGGGCCACCCTCACCCGAATCTTAATACAGATCTCGTCTTAGAACTGTCCTAAGACTAGCTTCCTCTAGCCTGGGCAAAAAGGCCCTACACATCAAAAAAGCCCTTGCCCTGCTTCTGTGACGGCTTCTTGCAGCTCCACGAGTCAGTCAGGTTCTTGAGAGTTTCCTCCTAACAGACACCAGCACATCTACAACCACATCTTCTTCTTTCTGGGCTCCTACCCTTTCTCCAATAAGCATTCAAGGCTCAACATATTACCAAGGACCCACCTTCTCCCTCCCTCCTATCTTCCTCCTACTCTGAAAGAGAATGCAAATGGCTATCAGAATTTCCTCTACTAAGACCTATAAGGACTTTTACAAAGCAGAGTGTTATTCAACATTTTTTGTCTTCTGGGACAAAATTCAGTCATTATTGAAAAACTGTCAAGTGTTTTAGACATAATGAAGAAATTTCAGCTAGGCATGGTGGTGAGCATCTGTAATTCCAGCATTTTGAGAGGCTGAAGCAGGAAGATTAAAAGTTCAAGCCCAGCTTGGTCAACTCAGCACCTTAGCAAGGCCTTGTCTCAAAATAATAAATTTTTGTTTCTTGTTTCTTGGTTTTTATTTTTTTTGGTACCAGGGATCTAACTCGGATCTTTGCGCTTGTGAGGCAGGTGGCAAACCACTGAGCTAAATCCCCAGCCCAAAATAATAAATTTTTAAAAGGCTGGAAATATAGCTCAGTGTGAAGACCCTGGGTTCAATCCCTAGTAACACACACATGAAATTAATGGTTAAATGTTTTAGATGTGATAATGTTCTTATTTGGGGGGTGGGATTTGAGTAAAGGTCTCACTGTATAGTTGAGACTGACCTGGAACTCACTATGTAGCCCAGGTTGGTCTCGAACTCACAGCATCCTCCTGCCTCAGCCTCCCGAGTGCTGGGATTACAGGCATGCACCATCACGCCTGGCCGTGATAATGTTTTTGAAGAGTAGTATTTACCTTTTGGCAGTACCTACTAAAATATTTACAGAGATTGTTCAAAACAATCTGAAATGTGTATGACAGAACAGAGGAGCAGTGGTTAAACAAATGGTCATGATTGATAATTACTGAAGTTGGGCAATGGCCACAGGGTGTTCACTATACTCCCCTCTCCTCTCCATTAATTCTTCAATAAAAAGAAGCTAAAAGGCAGGTATGGTATGCACACATGGAATCCCAGCTATCCAGGAATCCGAGGCGAGAGGCTTGAGAGTCTGAGGCCAGCCTGGGAAACTGAGCAAGAACTTATCTCAAAATAAAAAATGGACGGCAGTTCAGTGGTAGAGTATGCCTAGGTTCAACCCCCAGTAGTGGAGGGGTCGGGGGACCAAAAGAAAAGTCAATCTGACCAAAATGGAGGAACCTATTAGTGATAAAGTGAAGGAAGTAAAAGATGAATGAGGGTTAAGAGTCCATAAGACACAAATCATGCATCTAATATGTGACTTGTACCTTAAATATGATATACAAAGTATTTCCCTTTTTTTTCTTTTGGTACCAGGGATTGAACTCAGGACCTCGCACTTGTGAGGCAGGCGGCAGGCAGCACCACTGAGCTAAATATCTGGCCCAAGAATTCTTACAACTCATGAATTTCTTTAAAAACAATTTAAACATGATGGAAGTAATCACACAGACATTTCTCCAAAAAAATGTATACAAATAAGCAATTAAAACCCCTTGAATCACCGCCTGCCTCTCAAGCACAAGGTCCCGAGTTCGATCCCCGGTACCAAAAAAAAAAAAAAAACCCTTGAATCTCTAGAATTGTGAGTAAATCTCTTTTTTTATATACAGGAAAAAATAAAAGCAAAAAAACAAATGTGCAATTAATACATTAAAAAATGTTAGACATCAGGGAAATGCATATCAAAAGCACAGTTAAGATCCCACCTTCACATTCACTAAAATTTAAAAAGTCAGACACTATAACTTAAAGTCAGGGGCCAGGGATTTAGCTCAGTGGTTCCACCACCTGCCTCAAGAGCACAAGGACCAGGGTTCAATCCCTGGTACCAAAAAAACAAAAATAAATAAATAAATAAAGTCAGGCCAGGCATGCTGGCACATACCAGTAATCCAGGCACTTGGAAGATCACAAGTTCCAGGCCAGCCTGCACTACACAGTGAGTTCAAGGCTAGCTTGAACTACATTGTCAGACCCTATCTCAAAAAAACAAAAAAAAATCTAAAATTCAGGAAACAACAAGCATTGACAAGGATAAGGAGAAACTGGGGTAAAAATATTTACCAGCCACTTTGGAAAACAGTTTGGCAGTTCTCAAAAAATTAAACACAACCTACCATATGATCCAGCAATTTCACTCCTACCTTACAGAAAGGAAACTTACCCAGGAATGTTCACAGCAGTACTATTCATAACAGCCAAATAAAAAGCAGGACAAAGGAATGAATCATTGATATATGCCACAATATTGAGTCTTTACAAAAATATTATGCTGAGTAAAAGAAATCAGATACAAAAGACCATACATTGTATCATTCCGTTTATATGAAATGTCCAGAGTAAGTATATCTACGAAGACAGACATTAGACTGGTGGTTGCTAAGGTTGGTGGGGTAGGCCTTGGAAAAGTATAGAATTTGGGGGGTAAAGGAAATGTTATAAATTCAGATCATGTTGATGGCTGCACAACTCTGGAAAACTACTGAATTATGCATTTTGGAATGCATTTTAAGCCAGGTGTTGTGCCACCTGCCTGTGATCCCAGCACTTGGGAGGCTGAGATAGGAGGACTGCTGCGAGTTCGACTCCAGCTTGACTATATAGTGAAAGCCTGTCTCAAAAAACAAAACAAAAAAGAGAACACATTTTATCTCAAAGATTTTTTTTTTAAGTCTACAAGTACAGTATTTTTGTGGAATGTGTTATATAAATCCCTATAGGATGATGATGGTAAGAAGGAATTTTAAGTGAGAAGTTAAGGAAGAATGAAGTTTGAGGAATGCTGATATCAAGTTTGTAATTCTGGATAAAAGAAATATCACTGAAAATAACTGGTGCATTAGCAAAGTAATGTCAATTCACTAATTTACTGATTTAACAAACACAACTATTATCTGATTCTCACAGAGAGAGCTGTAAGTTCTAATAGAATTGAGACCCCAAACACACATTTATTACTTCTCAGCTTTTCCCTAAACACAGCTGACCATCAGAACCACTTTTGCTTTTATTAGTAATAGCTATTCTGGCTCCCTCCCAAGAGATTCTGATTCATTAAGTCTGGGGCAAAACACAGGAATCTGAATGACAGTCTGGCACATTATGTACCATTAGTTTATTTTTCTCTGCTTCAAGTCTTTTCCACCATTAGGAAATAAATATCACACACTCTTTCCTGTTTTCTGCAGTACCCATTAGACATAAAGCAGACATTAATAACTGCAGAGCCCTCAAAATCCCACGATAACATCTAGCTGTATCTGAAATAAAACTAGTTACATAGTTACATGTAATTCATATATATGGGAAAACCACTTGTCACATGTGTTTCCTTACATTTTCAGAAATCCAGAAATGCCAGTTTTTGCCTGATACTGACATAATGTCAATAAATAGCTACTGCAATCCAGTTCACAGCTCCAGAAATCTGACTCTTAGCAATCTCCTTCCTTCTCAAATTTAGACCGAAGTAGAAAGGCCAGATGTATCAACAGGTATCAGCCTACTATCGAGCTCTTCATTAAAAGCTAGATTATCTCCAAACTCTGGTTCCCCACTGTTGCGCCATTTGAATTTCCCACCGTGCTATGAGAAAATGACAGTTCCAATCTATGCTCAGGACAGAACTAATAAGACACAAGCCCTGTACCTTTGTGTCTCTTGCTCTTCTTTTTTCTGGAGACAGTTCTCTCATGGATGTTTTCCTCCTGGGCATCCATCTCATCACTACTATCGGTGATGTCACTGGGCTCACCAGCCCCAGAAAGAGCTTCTTCTGCAGGAACCTGGGAGGCTTCCAAGCCACAAAGAGATTTTACTAGGAAAAAATAAGGGAACAATGAGACGGCACATAGTCCCAACCAAAAATACAGACAGCTTCTCCAAGATATCAGCATCTATCAGAGAAGGGGGTAGGGGGCAGTGTAAGTCTGTTGGAGAAAGCTGAATACTTATCACTGGATTAAAACAGAAATTCAGTATTTAATATCAAAAAAACTAGGAAAGCAATGGGCAAAGTGACTCCTTAAAAGTGCCTACTTAGGGCTGGGGATTTAGCTCAGTGGTGCTGCCCCCTGCCTCGCAATAGCAGGGTCCAGAGTTTGATCTCTGACACCAAAAAAAAAAAAAAAGCAAACTTCAATCCTAAAAAAAAAGCGGGGGGGAAGGGAAAAAAATAAGAACCAAGACATATCATGTAAAGATGTAAAGGTACAAGATCCCAATGATAAATGTATTGTTTGCTTTAAATGTGCCAATAAACTTAATGGGGGGGAAGAGAATGTACAATTCATCCACCAAGAACCATGAAGTTTAAAAGAAAAAGATGAATTCTATTCTCATTTACATAAATTCTGAGGAGCAAAGTTCGTAAGGAAATGCATCCAATTTAACTGTCTTGAACTGGAGAGTAAATGTTATAAGACATAAGTGTCAAGGACCCATGAGTAAAGAGCTGAAAAGCATGAGAAACACCAGACAAAAACACACCAAGGTTACACAAAAAAACAAACTGCAGACCAAAGTATATGTAAACTACAGGAAAGAGATCAATACCTAAGAAGAAAGCAGAGGAAACTAATGAAGAGTACACAAAGAAAGACGACGTTTCAGCCACAGAAACTGTTACGTTTGGCTAACCCTCCCCCTGCCCCACCCCCTCGCATAAGACAGCAAACAGGGCAAACATGCTTACGGGAAGATGACCAAAGGACTGCAGGAAAAACAGAGACCGAGTCCCTGATAAATAAAACGACTAGTTCTGTCTTCCAGCCTGGGTCTAAAAGGACTTGCGAGAGCCTACCTTCCTGCTGAACAGCATTGGCCACGGCTTTCTTGACCCGACCAGACCGCACAACTGCCGGATCCGAGTTGGCATAATCCGCCACGGTCACTGAAACATAGCATTCACTCTCAAGGAAGAGGCCACCAAGACCTCCTCACATCAGGTCCCCGGCCCAGGCGCCCTCCCGCTTCCTGCGGCCGTCGAACTCCCTCCCCGCCCA